AAAAAAAAAAAAAAAAAAAAAAAAAAAAAAAAAAAAAAAAAAAAAAAACAAAACAAAACAGTCCAATCGACACTAAAACACCAGAAATCACGATCCGAAAACAGATTTTTTTTTTTTTTTTAAAAAAACGCACTCGCTAGTGACGAAGCTAATGAACTCGGAGACGCATTCCTGGACAGTATCCTTAGCGTCTTTAGCGATCTTGCCATTAGCAGGCAAGGCCTTCTTCATGATCCGACTAATGTTAGCGATCGGAAGAAATCGGTCCTGTTCGCGAGCACCACCAGTGATAGGGCTCTGCTCGCCGCCGCTCTCGTGACTGCCACCGGGCGGACTGGTGGGAGGCTCCGCCATATCAGCAAGATCCTGAATCAATGAAGAGCAAAACAGCAAGAGAGAAAGAAAACAAGTGTGAAAAGAGAAGATGTGTAGAAGAAGAACAAGAACAAGAACAAGAACAAGAAGAGAAGAAGAAGCATACGTGTAACCCTAAGTCTGGCATGGAAGAGAATTGAGAGAGAATGGTACCTGACAGAGGTGAGTGAAAGAAGATAATTTTGTATTTGGCGCGCTGCTCTCAGAGGAAGGAGACTTTGTTTGAGGATTTCCTCGTTTTTTTTTTTTTTTTTCTTTTATCGGACGCTGGAGAGAGGAGACGCACAGAAAAGACGGCAAAGGAGCTTTCTTTTTTTATGACACCCGTTGCTTTCCTTTTTTAACTAATTTTGGAAATTCTTTATTTTATTTTTCTTCTTTTCCTTTATAAACTCACTCTAATTATTATTTTTAGTATTTCATTTTAATTCATAAACATTGTATCATCGGTTTATTCGTTCTCTTGTCTATTTACTTAATTCATAAATATTTATACAAAATCACAAATTTGGATTTTTGTATGTTTTTTAAAATATAAATTAAATGATTTTGAGTAGAAAGTAGAAACTTTTATTAAAATGGAAAATTAAAAATTAAAAATAATAAATGTTAAGGGCTTTTCTAAACCCTAACTTTTATAAACTAAACTATGATGCTTTGCTAAATTGGGGATTAAATTTGGGTCTCTATGAATGGATGTAGTAGTTTATGCATTGCATATGCCACTTAATTTGCTGCTAATTATATTTACAATTTACAACCATATGACTAAAAACTCATAGCATTTCATACATTTAAACTAAAATGCATACAATTCATCATATTTTGATCTAAAAAGAGTTGTTTATAGCACCTTTTATACGTAGTAACCAATCGGGAATGCTTCCTCAACAACTTTCTTCATTATCTCTTTCTGCTCCAAATACAATCACAAAAATTGTTTGTGTTAGTTCACCACAGTTCTACAGACCGTGTTTGACTGACAAATTAGTGTAATGTTGATTTTGTTAAGTTCGAAATCACTTCAAACCATGTTTTCAATATTTAAAATCGGTTTAATCCTTGCATACGATATGCTTCACAGTAATCTTGAAAGAAATGATTTTAACTATTTTAAAATCACTACTAAATAGCGGGATTAGAAGCCAAACATTCCAAATAAGGCAACTGGCAATTGTTTTACCTGGATTGTGCTTGTGATGATTCCAGGAGCATCCTGTATTAATCAGATTCACAGAAGAATTCAGACAAGAATCGTGGAAGCAATAATACATAAAGCCATAGAAAAGGGAAGTTTGTTTTGTTTTTAAAGCATTGAAACTTTTATGAACCTTAAACGACTTTTTGTTCCATGATATCTCACGCCATGTTTTCGACTCGAGTAAGTCCCATATGTTAGGCATGCAAATAGTATTCACGTGCTCCATGACTCTCAAGCTATCTGCCAAACATGTAGAAGACTTCAAACTCCCAAAAGTATATGAAGTAAAACTTCTCATACTTTACAAAGATATCGATGCTTCTACGGTTCAAAGGAAACGTTAAATGGTGATGATGGATTGCAAGAGAAACAATGGATGCACTTTCTTGAAAAAATGTACCTCCAGAACAGTAACAAGAAGAAAAAAGCAGCTATGAATATCTGAATGAAGATGTGAATAAACTTTATAACTAAACAAGAGGCAGCTAATGATAATCAATCAAGATAAGGAGCCTCCTCGTTACTCTTCGGCATGTCGATAAGAGGGAAAAATGGAAGAAAAACTAGGAAGCTTACTTGTAACAAACGCTTCTTCCCACATGTCATTGCTTGACCAAGTAGGTGCAACTTCTCGAAATGGAATGCCGATGCTTAAACAAGCTCTACAAAACATGTTCACTTCAGATCTGTAAAACAACTAAACAAGAAGTTCCTGCAGTGCTAATGTTTTGTATGATTGTAACCCCTTGTGTTATACTTTTACACTAACTTTTGCTTCTGAAAATTCATCTCCAATGTCTTGGTTTGTCTATATCATACTAAATTCATCTCCAAATCGAATTAACTAAGACAATCCTGGAAGTACAGCTTGCCCACTGATTTAAAAGGCATGCCTAGGTGATCTTCACCTAAGGTGTAGGGGAAGGCCAACCTTTGTAAAGAACACCTACTTGGTGCTTGAAACATATAAGTGCACAAGTTTATTGTTCTTTTTCAAGAAAACGTTGGATGCATATTCATACAAAACAATCTCTTGAATAAAACAATCTCTTGAATAAAACAATCCTTGTCAAGCTCTTTATAGCCAAAATGATGGTTAAATATATTGAAACTGCGAATTGGTGGACAACCGAACCCATTCGACTAATGTACACGTACTAAAACTGAAAAGTCTGAGTTAAACTATAATTTCATGTTTATAACATCAACAAGATCGAAACCGACTTCATATCTCACACTTTCAGGAAAAAAAACTACATCCTAGAATCTGAAAGTGGAAATAAAAAATAAAGCAGAAACAATAATATGATGATTCGAAATGGGTAGGAACATACTCAACGACTAATTGACGAATAACTCCAGTCAGAACGCCGTCGCTAATGGGAGCTGTCTGCAGTTCAAAGGAATGTGTACTTGCAGAATCAAGGAGGCTTGTTCCTTTAGCTTCATTATTATTCTGTAAAAAACTTCCAATAACACTTTATGCTCATAAAATTTCAGGGGACAAGAAAATATTGTCAATATTTACAAACAAAAGTAACTTATTCAAAGACTGGCTTAAAGAAATTGATGCATCACCTTCCGGCAAACAACAAAAAAGTTAGTCAGGCAGCCTTCAAGTATCTGATCACCATCGTTTGACAACAAAAGCTCAGTCACAGAAGGAGGCCTCAATTTTTCCAGAGGCTTCCTACGCCTGACATAGTTCACAAAGAACAAAACAACAACAAAGATAGAATTGAATAACCCAAAAAGTGCTTAAACAAAAAGCAAAAACCATAGCTTAAACTGTTCATAATTCATGTTCCAGTGAGAAACTAATTACTCTTCATTCCAACCACTCGTTTTGATCCTCCTAACTGTTCGAATCAAAATATGAACTGTTTCTTGCTCTTTCATTATGCCTAATGTAACAGTGAACTATGTCCAATCCAAACAATCAAAGTTGTGCGCTCTCACCTAACCCAATCCGAGTACTTTGCCGCAGCAGCATCTCTTCCTCGACCCACGACGGCCAGATTTGCACCATTTTCCGGGACACCAAATTCACGAGGAACATAATTACCAACATGCGTGTGCACACCAACAGCCTCTTTAACTCTTTCTACATCCACAACACCGTCACTTTCACCCAAATTTTCCAAATCCACACTTACAAGCACTGTAACTGCCAATTCTTCTTCCCCATTTCTATCATTTAATGCTATCGGTAACACTTTTCTCATTGAATCATCGACAAGCGTTCGAATAGCTGGTTCCCAAGGAATAGAATCAATCGGCGACGGTATTACCAGTTTATTGACTGTTCTGTTCGATTCAGACAAGAGTTGAGGAGTCGAATTTGATAGAATTTTTACCGATTGAGTCAGCCTTTTCATGTGCCTATCCCAAAACAGAATGCTCGACGCATTGTTATGGGTCCGAGTAGTGGTATAAGCGCCTGGAATAATTGAAATTAATAAGTCAACAACAGCGAAAAACTATCCCTAACACAGGACTCTCCCTCAGTTTTTCAAATAATCAAATCGCTCAGCCAAGCAACTTCAATCCAAAACAAAGAGTCAAAAATCATTACGTTAGATATCATATGGTTATCCGATGCTTCCCTAGACTCTAGCTCTCCTTATTACAGACAACAAACACAATGGATTGGGAAAACGCAAAATTTCCTCGGAATCCAAACACTTAATTCGACTTTCACCAAACAGATACAGACGACCATTTCTCACAAATCAAAAGGCAGCAAAATATGAGTTACCAGGATGAGTTTCAAGGAAGGTGGCGACAGGAGGAACTTCGGAGCCTTGCAAAAGGACGCCATTGCTGAACAAGAATCGGAAGCTTGTCATTTCTTCGATTGTGATGTGATCACTAGGAACCGAGGGAAACTATGTAACGCAAATCGTCGTCGACCTTTTTTTTTCCCCTTTTTTTTTTTGGCGCCCCGCCAATCGCCCATTTGTCTCTCTTTAAAAAAAAAAAAGTTAATTTAAATATGAAAATGAGTCTTTTTTTAAAATAAAATAAATAGAGTAACTTATTTTCTTTTTTTTTTTTTTTTTTTTT